ATACTGCCACCTGTGGTTTCACTCCCAATTTGTAATTGTATGGACTTTGGAACAAAAACTATAAGATGTAAATAAATTATATTAGATGATCCAATCAAGCAAAAAACTAAATAAATTTTTAACAATTATGATAATAATATACAAACGGTGCATAGAAAAACCGGAAAGCACCGGATAGCACCGAAATACCGGAAAGCACTCAAATTTCTCATAAAAACATATGAAAACGTTAATTAATCGGTTTGAAAGTGTTACCAATCGATTTATTAGGTCAAAATATGTCAGACAAGTCATTTTTATATTTATATATTGATAATTATTAAGAGTATTTAGGAAAATAGATATATCGAGTGCTTTCCGGTCCTGTTAAGATACATGTACATTACCGGATAGCAATATTGTTTATCAAAGTTATACATGAAAATTTTATTTTATTGGTTTGAATAAATTAGATCAAAATCTTACAGACAAGTCATTTTTATAAAAATATATTGATAATTATTACGAGTATTTAGGAAAATAGATATATCGTGTGCTTTCCGGTCCTGCTAAGATACATGTACATTACCGAATAGCAATATTGTTTATCCAATTAATACATGAAAACTTTATTTTATTGGTTTGAAAGTGTTACCAATCTATTTAGTAGTTGAAGATCTGTATATAATGACGTTTTTATAAATATTTTATGTTTCATTACGCGATTTTCAAAGTTGTTACAAAGTTGTATAGATTGCTTTCCGGTAATGCTAAAGTACATCTACTTTACCGAATAGCACTCGAATATGTATATAAATCACACTTATCCTTCATATTAATTATGTGAAAGTGTTATAAATTGATCAATTATGTTGAACTTATTTCATTTATAAATATTATGATTAGTTACACGATTTTTCAATCTTGCTCATACCATATATCAATGTATCATATTTGTAATATTTTATAGGTTGTGTGAAGGACAGAAAGAGGATGTGTAAAAAGTACCAATCAAAATTTTCATGTATAACTTTGATAAACAATATTGCTATCCGGTAATGTACATGTATCTTAACAGGACCGGAAAGCACTCGATATATCTATTTTCCTAAATACTCGTAATGATTATCAATATATAAATATAAAAATGACTTGTCTGAAAGATTTTAATCTAATAAATCGATTGGTAACACTTTCAAACCGATTAATTAACGTTTTCATATGTTTTTATGAGAAATTTGAGTGCTTTCCGGTTTTTCGGTGCTATCCGGTGCTTTCCGGTTTTTTCTATGCACCCATATACAAACTTAAAGTACTGAGACAAAGTGAAATCCCCTTTTTAAGTTTTTAATTTATTTTTATTATACCCTAAAATAAACAACTGAATCCGTAGTCTTGCAGTCGAAATATAATGAGACTAGTCCGCGGAATGGAATCCAATCCGGTATTCAGTCATACCAAAATTAAACAGAAATATAACTTACCGCCTCTTAAATAAATCATAAGCACTAGGCAGATATTTAAATTTTTCATTATCACATCTGAAGTTTACTTTGATACAGTAAATCTCTATACTAGTAGATATTATTATTATTGTAAATTCATCGTCCTTTTGTCTTGAGTCGCCGACTCAAATCAGTTAAATATGATTTTTTTTATTTCACATCGTCTTGAAACATTAACAAATCGTGTTTACTTTTTAAAATTGAAAAAGTGTCATATCTAATCCTTTAAGGGGAGATCACTGAGGACCGCTTCAGTGATTGTGGTCTATAAACCGCTGGGCATAAGAACACTAAATCTAAATCTCTTAGAACTGGTCTTGAATGGGAACCAGAATAGGACCAGATGAATTATGGACATTTCGGATTACGGACTTATCGGACCAGACTTTTGGTCAATCTGATTTAGGGACGCGTCGGAACATGAGGTGGACATTTCGGACCGGTTCATAACTTATATATAAATTGTATTAATTGTAAATAAGATTGTAAAAATTTAAGACAAGATAAGGTACTGGTGAAAAAGTATCAAAATAAAAGCAAGAAGTGACTAACTAGTGCGAAAATAACCAGAAACAACAACAACAAGAATAAGATCGACTGTATATTCATGTAGAATATGTACGAAAATCAAATCTATGCAGTACCCTACGAAAATAAGATCTGTAAGAAAATAAAAGCTGTATGAAAATTATGTATAGTATACGAAAAAAAGGTATACATTGTATATATATACACGAAAATAAGACCTGTTAGTAAAATAATACCTGTATGAAAATATTATATGTACGAAAATAAGATCCATTTGAAAATAAGGATGATCTTCATGAAAACAAGGACAAATGTTGCTGCACACAAAAAAAATGCGCTCATTACAAATACCTTATACCTGCGCACAGGTCATTTTCTATTTAGATTAAGTTCTAGTGTACATTATCAAAGGGCATCCAGGCAAGAAATTCAGCAACTGTTATGCCACTAATGTTACCAATGAATTTACCTTATATAAAGTTTGTATATATAAAATGTTGATGCTGTTAATATTTCAATGAATAGAAGATCTATTATTCGATGTATATATAAATGCATAATGGTATTTGAAAAGGTGGAAAAAATATATATGCATTCATGTTTTAATGACGCATGAAACGTTTTCCAAAGATCGTGTTATTTCTTGTTGATTTCAATGAAAATTTAAAACTGACAAAATATCATTATATCTTACAAATTCAAAGAGAGATTTTATGTAGAAAAGTATATGATTATGTTATGATCGTTTTATTTTGAAATTAAAGTAGCGAAACAAAAACAGTATTTAAAGTTATAATAGTGAAACAAATAAATTTAAAATCATTTTACGGGTTTTATGTGTGAAAATCAGTTTAGATAATACATTAATTTATTTGTTCATTAATTGTTAAAATTGATTCAGAAAATTGCATTCCCTTGCTTGTTTTTTATGATATGTGATTTTGTATTGTTAACATATATTTGATATGATTTACCACAAAATACAACGTTATTCTCTTTAAAATAAGCTTCACATACATCAGACATGATGTTATTAGTATAAATTTCGTATTAAGCAGATCTATTTGAATATTAAATGTTAATTTATTGACCTTGAATAGAAATATTCAAGTAAGATAATTTCACCCACTTTTTGGTTGTATTTACTCATTATATCTGCATTTTTACGGCTGCGTTTTTATTGACGCTTTACCAGAGACATAGATAACATGTTATCTATGTCTCTGGTTATACGTAATAAACGAAAAAATGTCATATCTTCTGGATATTCTAGGAACTGGTAATATGTAATGTGGTTATTAATAGATAGAATGGATTTTTTTTTTAAAAAAGTGGATTTGTTTAAACCTTTTCATTTTTCAATGCATCGTATTATAGCCAGGATAAATGTTTCGTACTTATTATTTCCATATGTAGGAAATTATTGACTTTTTGTATACATCTACTCGATCTGTCAATAATTAAGTCAGTATATTTGGTAACTTTATCAATATATCGATAAAAAAGCTTTAAATTGACAGAAAACTAAAATAATTTCAATCTAAATTACTTTTGCACCATTGTCTTAGTCTTAGGAAAATGGTGGACTTCGCAGGCATCTTAGCGTGGAACTGATAACGATCGCTGATTGGCTTATCACTGTGACCCCTGCCAGTTTGGTTGACAGGCGGCGTAATGTCAATTGAAAGTATATTGGCTATATATGTATGCTCATGCTATTTATGCCAAATAAAGATTATGTTATGTTATGTTATGTTATGTTATGTTATGTTATGTTATGTTATGTTATGTTATGTTATGTTATGTTATGTTATGTTATGTTATGTTATGTTAATGTTATGTTATGTTATGTTATGTTAATGTTATGTTATGTTATGTTATGTTATGTTATGTTATGTTATGTTATGTTATGTTATGTTATGTTATGTTATGTTATGTTATGTTAAATGGCAATACAAAGTGCATTATCCTATGTTTTATGGTTTTAAAGAACATTGTTTAAATTGTGTGAAAATTGCACTTGCAGCGATAGAAATTTGCATGAAGCGGTAAAATTTGGTTCTAAAATAAATGAAAATAAGCTTTGTTTTTGCACTTTAGATACCAAATCAATCATTTTATTGACATCTGTTATCGTAGAAGTCCATTTAACATTTTTTCGAAGGTCTGTAGCCTACAAATGTTCTTGCAAGTGTAAAGTAAGTAAAACGAACGATTTCTGGATAGTAAGTCGCACGAAAACAAAATAGTAAGTTTCACTTGTAAACAGTCTCCAATGGCATACATATACATTAAAAGAAAGTTTTTAAGTCCGTAAGTAAAGAGGTAGAAAATACTTATTTCAATTATTCAAGATCAAATATTTCACTTTTTGTCAATAGGACGAATGCTTAATTGGTTGTTTTTATTATATATCAAATGAACTTTTAATGGAATTTGATATCACACGACTCAGTGTTATTTTTCTTTTGCGATAGTAGTTCTTTGACCTCTGCAGTGTCAGGTGTGTCTTGGTTCTCATTTTACTAAAGTTAGAAAAAAGATGAACAAATATGATTGCTTGTTATTATATCCCCACCACAAAATGTGGGCGGAGTGGGGGGCTATAGGTCTCAACCCGGTACGGAATTAGACCGAACCCATTGTAGTCTAGAAAGTAGTTCTTTAAAATTATGAAATGGCCCAATTTAAGTCATCTCTAGTTAGATTGGTCATAATTATAGTGTATTTATTGCATGTGTGTAGTTTTTGTGTGTTATATGATGACTTTAAAAGTTGTTTTTTGTGTATTCTCCAGGAACTCATTTGTTGGTGGAAGGATTAAAGATGTACTACCCACCAGCTGTCAGGAGTTTTTAAAGTGGTGAATTTAAACAGTGTTACAACAGAATGAAGATTTCTGAAAAAAGTAGATGGCTAACCTATTATATTTTGGGCATCATTTGACTTAGATAGTGTTAATGTTTAAAGTTTAAGACAGTTACTGTATATAATTCATCAAGAACAGTGGAATCCAGAATTAAACCTCAAATTTGACTGATTTACTATAGAACTAATAGTACGAAAATTCACCGGGCCGAGTCCAAGATAAGAAATGTCAAAAAGGGGAACTGGTTGATGGATATGGATGAAACTTTGCATCAGTGTTGTGTTTATGAATAGAAGTCAGGAAAATAAAGGATTACTGACAGGTTTGAACATTTTAAATTTTATTTCAAATTTTAAATTTTGACATTTTAAATTGGGACATATGTTGTTGTTGTTATCTCCCCTTCAAATGTAGATGTCTGCTACTGTGTCAGTAAGCAGGGAGAAGGGTACAGAGCTTTTGCATGAAAGATTAACCACATTTTATTGAATTAAAACTGTAAAAATAAATTTAGAATTAAAAAATGAAATTTAAATTTTGTAAAAAGCAGTTTATAAATTGATAAATTTTATTTTTGCACCCTGTGTTAAGCAATATACTATAAATCTAGCTTATTTTTATAAGATTTATATAGAAAATGATAATTTTTAGAGAAATGCATCTTAAATTATGGATAAATTATGCATTGAAGGAATTGGGGAGTGTGTGGTTTCAGATTGGTTACATTGGTAAAAAAAGTGATTGGCAAGCTCATTCCAGAGATCTCTAAGGGGCCCAAGATTCACCGGCCATGGGATTCGAACAAGCACCATAGTAGCCTATTGCTCATATGGACCACACATTATATGTTTTGATGTTTCAGCAAAGGATTGATGCTGTAGTAATCAGTATGTAAATATTCACTATTGTCCTGTATTTAAATGAAGAAGAACTTACAATTGAACAGGACAAATGTGATTTATATTTTGGAAATATAGGCATTTTCAGTGTAGTGAAACTTGATGTTTTGCTGTGTTGCAGAATGTATTTGCTAGTAATATATACACATAAAAGATTTTCTAGTCATTAAACAGTGTATTTTATGGATAATTGGCTCATTTAGAATAACACAGTTGATATGATTGTTGTTGTTGTTGTTGTAGCTGCTACAGCAGTTAAATTAGGTTAGGTTTATAATGTCTAAACTGCTATTTTCATGCAGGCATGCATTTTTCAGCACACAATATTTATATAAGCTCTCCTGTGTGAATTAGCAAATCTAGCCATTTATTAATTAAGACATTATTTTCTTTCTTTTTCAGATATTAGAATTACAGCATAAATGCCCCTTATAATTTTCTTAGGCATGTACTAGTGTTGCATATCTTTTCAGACCATGCAGTTACCAAAGCCTGGGTTTGAGTATATGACCTTACCTTATCCTGGTAAAGATCTATGGAAGGACTCCTTCAGCTCTGTTTGGCAGCAGCTTTGTCAGGACACATTGAGAAGGTAATAACTTATGTCTAGTTTGAAACTTCAGCTATTGACGGTAGCGCCTCCCAATGCTCGGGCAATATTTGGTAGTTATTTTGATGTATTTCAGGAGAAAATTTCTCTAATTCTGACTATATTAAGACTTCTCAATGATTTAAAGTGGGAGACGGTATGTGTCATCTTTTTAAAGCCTTATTTGTGTGAGAGTTGGCTAATCTTACTTTGTCGGAAGACATAGCCCATGGTGATATGGTAACCTCTTTGCTAACCTTAAGATTACCTCTGTTTGTCTTTATTGATATCTTAAGCAAACAATGTAGGGTGTGTATGTTGGTTCTTTACTTTATTTACCATGGTATATAGGTAAAAATCATAATCAGTAAGTTTTATTACAATATTGAAGGAAAAAGTTATGAAAAAAGCACATTTAATTGTGATTACTTGTATTTTAACCCAAAATTTCATGCTCTCATTTAAAGAAATTGAGTTTCTATTACAATTTTTAAGCAATAAGGTCTTATTCTTTCATAGAAGTAACTGTATGACATTAGCCGGTAACATTAAACTTTATTCAAAGAAAATCCATTTACAGAATCAAAAGATATGACAGAATTTGTAATATAAATTTTTGCGTAAAATTCTATTGGCCGAGCCTGACTTTTCGCATGAAGGTTCATATTTAAGAAATTGTACCGCATTAATGTAATTTGTTAGAGACATGTCAAACCTATATGACTGTATTTGTATAACACTAAATTACTAGGAAATGAGTATAAAGTTTGGCTTAACTTAAATTTTGGATTCATTTAGGTCTCAACCCGGTACGGAATTAGACCGAACCCATTGTAGTCTAGAAAGTAGTTCTTTAAAATTATGAAATGGCCCAATTTAAGTCATCTCTAGTTAGATTGGTCATAATTAAAGTGTATTTATTGCATGTGTGTAGTTTTTGTGTGTTATATGATGACTTTAAAAGTTGTTTTTTGTGTATTCTCCAGGAACTCATTTGTTGGTGGAAGGATTAAAGATGTACTACCCACCAGCTGTCAGGAGTTTTTAAAGTGGTGAATTTAAACAGTGTTACAACAGAATGAAGATTTCTGAAAAAAGTAGATGGCTAACCTATTATATTTTGGGCATCATTTGACTTAGATAGTGTTAATGTTTAAAGTTTAAGACAGTATATAATTCATCAAGAACAGTGGAATCCAGAATTAAACCTCAAATTTGACTGATTTACTATAGAACTAATAGTACGAAAATTCACCGGGCCGAGTCCTATAATGGATTCGCTTTGTCGCGTCCGTCCGTCTCCATTATCGTGTCAGCTCTATAAATCCTATACCAATTAAAGGATTTTCTTCAAACTTGGCTCAAATGTTCACCTCAACAAGGGGATGTGCAGAACCCATCTTGCCCATGTGTCAAAATGTTTGTCAAGCGTTTTCCCGTTTACGTGTCATTTCTCATAGATTACAGATAGAAGCTGGTAGATGGTCTAGGTCACATAGGACCCCTTTAAATGAAAGAATTTGTGTAAGATGTGGTAAAATCGAAGACGAATATCATTTTATATTAGAATGTTTGTTATTTACTGATATAAGAAAAAAGTATATTGATAGACGCTTTTGGATAAGACCTAGTATGCGAAAATTGGTTGACCTTGTTAATTCAGAAAATAAGAACACTCTTCGAACGTTGGAATATATACCTATAATGCCTTTAATATTCGAAATTCGGTCCTATTTACCAATTAAAGGTTTTCAAATAAATCATTAAATAGATATTGATATTTTAGGTGTATAGTCATAAGTAAAATAGATATGTAATATATATTGTATTGTAATAAGCATCTTAATAAGAACTGTATTGAAACATCATTCGCAAAAAGTATATACATGTATCTCAAACACATGTCTAACATATGTTATATAATTATGTATATTTGCATGCCATACTATCGGTCTAACAGTTTCGTTTTGGTAAGACTGATTAAATATGAGATTATTAATATAATAGGAATCTATATATAATATAACCTATGTATCTTGGCTCAATAGAGAGGTAAGATATGTAGATAAACTAATTTAGTTTAATGATTTATGTAATGTAGTGAACATTAATCATGTTTGTTGTGACACTACTTCATAGATTAATATCATGGTAAATTATATTATTTTTGGATAGCTAATCATTTCCAGAACAGAACATTTAATTCATGCAATCATTATTACAGTGAGTGTAAGACAAACATAAATTAATATTTGCATTGTTCTACGTTCTTACGAATAAGTTATTATGACCTTCTCCTGTAAAGTCATTGGCGTCCGTCCGCGCCGAAGCGCGGCGCCACTTTATGGAATGAAATCAGATTTTGTGAAAGGGCGACAGCAACTTCTCGAGCCTTTTTAGTCGGTCATAATAAAAGCCATTCGGAACTGCCTCGGCTATTATCTATAATAACCTCGGAAACAATACGGATTGAAAGTAGTTCAACCACGTGGTTTCAGATGTAAACAGAAACAGAGATAATGTAAAACGAATGTATACATTTGACATCAAATGTCTGTTCCGGTACTCTTTTGCGTGAAAATATGTCTGACAACAATTTGTAATTTAAATATGCCCACTGATATTCAATTTTAAACAAATCCGACTAAATGTTAAAAAGTTGGTTTTTTGTACTTTCGGTTTCTACAACCATAATAATAAATAGATAAATAATGTATGCTTTTGTACCTATGAATTCACTTATTTTAGGTGGACTTTTACTACATTTATTGGAAATAAACTTGTCAACAACTCCAAGCATTAAATTACTATTTGTTTACATGTTTAGTTTCTTAGCGTAGGTTGGACCGAAATACCGCATCCGTTCTGTGTATTCATACTATTGTGTTCGAGGTCCTTATCCGAAGACTGACGGAAAGGGCCGAGTAGTTGCGATTGAATAAAAGCCGATCATTCCGATCGGTATGAGGGTGCTTGATTATTATCAATTAAAAACAAGTAAAATGGTTTCCTGCGGTGGACATTTTAATGATATAAAGATATTTCATTTAACTATTTTCAACATTATTTGGGGGTGTGGGGGATAAATAAACGTTTGTATCAGGAATAAGGTTGACAATTGAATAAACGATCAATATAGAAGAAGGTCTTTGGAAACTGGTGACCGTTGAAGACCGGAGAAGGTCGAACATAAAACAATTATTTCTTTTTAATAAAATGATTAAATAGGCCTACCATTTTATGAATTATTCCGAACAAAAAATAAATAAAGTAAACACACAAGTTTATGCAGAAAATATCTTTATTTATTATGGCAGATGCCACTACGAATATTTTAATTTTGTAGATTTTCAGTATAAACAATTTATTGTTTGTAAAATTTGAGATAGATATTAAAGAAACATTGATAATTTTCAAACACACCATTCAAGTTTTTCCACCTTAAACAGTAAAATAATTATAGAAAATTAGAAATATCACGCAATAGTTTTTTGTTCTTAATTAGCAATCGTAACAACTCGGCAATCTCCGTCAAGTTCGGAGAGCGAATTCTTGAAGTCGCCCGAGGAGTTCCGATTGCTTAATTAGGTGTAATTCGGACTAATTCCCTACAGTTAAACCCGTAACGTACCGGCAAACGTTATTTAGCTAGGTTTTCAAAAATGTCAATTAACCAATCATGTACAGTTTACAGATCACATGCTTCTCCATGTACCGAAACAGGTCACGTGCTCCTCCATGCCCCAAAAGTTAAACGCGTACCAATACCCTGCGGTCTCCAGACCGCAGGGAATGAAATGTCGCGATATGTACAATGAATAGCGAACTGGAGGATTTCGCAATGCAAACATTTTCAAATGCAATAACCTTTTCCGTCTCTTCGGTTTTTTATTGATCATTTTGTAGTACACAGTGGGTTATCATCATGGTATGTTAAAATAGAATGATTAGTTGTTGACCTAAATATTCCGAAAATCTATTTATAGAGGGATGTACTCCTATCGGTAATTCCAGTCTCTCCCGGTCTATTTTGACCGTGATACTAGTGACCGGCGAAAAGTATCACACGTTTATTGTCCGGTCTCTCCCGGTTTTGGAGTAGATGTTTGATATCGTTACAGAACAGAACAAATATTTTACAGATAAATAAGCTTTTTTCCAAAATGAATGTTTGTCACTTAGTTTGGTTACAATAATCAATGAACATAGATCAACTCTCAAATTTATTGATTATTATTATATATAAACATACACTTCGAAAAAAAAACCAACAACAACAACAATAGCATGTTTCATTTTATCTATATGAGATAAAAACAATAAATATGTACAATAATTGTGAAAAAGGTACATTTTTATGGTTTTAATATGACACTATCAACTTTGAAACATTTTATTTAATTTGTTATTCGTGTTTAGTAAAGATGCCGAGGAATTATTCAAAGTTACAAATTAGAATTTATTAATTATTTAATTGATTGATAATTTAAAAAAATGATAAAGAAAAATACAAACGTACATGTACATGGTTTAAAAATAAACAATATTATATATTGAAAGATTAACCATAATTTACTGACTTTTTCCAGTTAAGTTTTGACTTATAATCGTCGGTCAATATTACATTTGAATTCTTAAAATTTATTTTACAATTTTAATAAAAAAAGAGTAGTAAACGTAAAAAACTCAGTATTAAAATAGAACATAAAAACACAAAAAAGAGAGGAAAACAATATTCATAAAATCTGTATTTTTGTTATTAAAATAGATATTACAATTATTGTATAATAAACAATAATGCTCAACATGACATGGTAATATAACCAGTGTCATATTTTTACTAAGTGTGAACAGATATTTTAAGAGGGGGTCTTCGCTAATAGTGATTACATAATAAGGGACAATTCCACAAGTGTGGTGTTGATCATGCGTTACACATGGGTATGGATAATAAATGATTGTATACATGTACTAGTATATCCGTTGCTATTAATAATCACGATCATAAAGAAATAACAAGTAATATTCTAATCTCTAGCATGCCAATCAAAGTTCATAATGAACAATGTCTTCCCTCCGTTCATTTTGGTAAAAACCAATTAACAATTGAAAAGTTTATAAGAATATCTTGACATCATATGTCTACTAGTTCATCTTCACTTTCTGCATTTCTTGCTTGGACGCCCTTTGATGCTTTGCATCAATGCTTTTCTTGTAATTATATTGTGATAATGTTTTTATTTTAACATATGCACTGTTCGTTATCTTGTTATTATGCTGTATTATGTCATCATGGGCTTATAAGCCTTTTTGATTGAAATAACATGTCTGTCTGTCTGTCTGTCAGCTCAAGGTCAAGGTCACAATTGAAGGTCAAATATCAAACAATTAAATATTAGACAGTATGTCGTGACCGCTCTGTAAGTCCTACACTAATTAAAAGATTTTCTTCAATCTTGGCTCAAATGTTCACCTCAACAAGGTAATGTGCAGAACCCATGTTACCCTTTTGCCGGCTTAAGGACAAGGTCACACTTGAAGGTCAAAAATTGACTTAGAAAATATTCTAAAATTTTAATATGTATTTGAATTTTTCTGAAATTAGAAAAAGTATTTGCTTGAAACTTAAAACATATATGAAGCGTCACAATTAAGATATGCAGGTCAAGTTTAATAACTCTGCATTTGCATTTTTGACAAAAGTTATGCCCCTTATGAAGTCTTCAAATTTACATACAATCAAATATTAGACAATATGTCGTGTTCGCTCTATAAATCCTATACTAATGGAAGAATTTTCTTCAACTTTTACTCAACAAGGTTATGTGCAGAACACATGTTACCTTTGTGCCGGCTTGAGGTCAAGGTCACACTTGAAGGTCAAAAATTGACTTGAAATTTTAACATGTACTTGAATATTTCTAAAACTAGAACAGATAATCATTTGAAACTTCAAATATATACGAAGTGTCGCAAGTAAGATATGCAGGTCAAGTTTCATAACTAATAAAGTACTTCATTGATACTTGATGGTATACGGTATTTTTTCATTATACATATATGTAAAATTTGTTTCAAAATCATTTTTATCGTTGTAATAGATGTCCCATTCGTGTTTAAATATCAAAATAGTTTTGATAGAGTGTTTACAGGGGCGTATCACGTTAAGGGTCAGGATCTGACCCCCAAGCGTCTGTGGGTTAAAGCACCGACGTTTCGTTAGCTAGTTTAATAAAATCAAAAGGCTGCAACCTCTGTGGTATTTTCT